TACAGTATTTTTACAAACTTTATTTTACAGTTAAAATACATGTTTATCAAATAAAGTCTAATGTTACAACTAATCATGGATCCCTTTAAAGCAGTTCCAGTCTAAAAGGTTTTGTGGTGGTTGATTCAAGCAGTAGATTATAAACCTAACATTACTCTCAATTGTGCCTTACATGTTTTATTCGTCAAAAAAGTTACAAACTAGCTGTACTTACTAATACTTACAGAATTTAATGTGAACAACCGATGTAATACGAAACTTATGGTAATAACAGCATTGGTGCTACCTGCTGTAAGCCTAAACTACTTTGGGTTTAGCTCTTCTCAAACTAGCTTTTCGCTTGTCGATATTATTGACAAGCTTACTTTGATTGCATATTTTTGTTCTTTGTTGTGTATATAATTGCTCTAAATGAAATGAATAAATTTCTAAATAAAAAAATTAGCAAATATTGTCAGGAATACCCACTTGTAGAGGCCATTTAAAGAGCTTTTTGTAAAAGTAGGAAATATATTGTTTGTAACTTTTTCACAAAACATTATTTTTAAAGATTTATTTATTCATTTCATTTTWGACAAAACACAACACATTACATACAAAAAAAAAATACAAATCAAATAAAATGAAAGGCAACAGATGAAGAAAAAAATCTTATGATATGATGATTTGAAGCCATGCTATAAAAAATGTCCCGCTTAAAGTTTGTCTTGTCTGTTTTTTCTCACAATGGATCAAATTCTGAGCATATTTTTCTGCCTACTCCATTATTTTCTGTTTACTTGAATTTCTGTAATTATGTTATAAATCATAGCTTTGTACGAGCACCATGGGGAAATTCATTAATAATCTTTCTGCTCCCAAACCGACTGCACTAAATTAACAAATCTGATCAACGTCTTACAGAGTATTCTTTCTTTTCTTGTTGTTTCAGTTGGCCAGCCAGATGGTGGATCTGTGGGCCAGAAGGAGGACTCGCCTGATACCACAGAAACCACCCAGGTCGAAGCGACTCCACAAGTGAACGGCGAGAAGATGGAAAAAGAATCCCCTGAAGCGAATGAGATTTCTTCWGTCGAAGAGAAGGCGACAGAAGAAAAACCAGACAATGCTGGTGAAGTCGGATTCAAGAAGATCTTCAGCATCGTGGGCTTGAAATTCACACTGAAGAAGGACAAAAGTGAAGAGGCGGACCCTGTGAAGCTACTGATAGTAAAAGACAAAGAGGGAGACGACGTCATTGAGACAGAAGAACCTGCAAAAGACAAAGAAACCGAAGAGAAAGCCACATGTGAAGAAAAGAAGGCTGACACAGAGGCGTCCAATGCTGAAGCAGACAAAACTGAAGCCTCCGATGCCCAACTCGAAGGCGCCGCTGCCGAGGCCGCTGACGACAACGTCAAAGAGGAGGGAGCTGAGAAAGAAGCAGAAACCACTTCTCCAACCAAGGAGACAGGTGTGTCCTCTTTTAGGAAGCTCTTCTCTGGGGGACTCTTCTCAAACCTGCGGAAAAAAACCAGCATCAAAAAGACAAAAGAGGAGGAGGAAAAAGAGGCCGCTGCAAAGGAGGAACCAGCGAAGACTGAAGAAGCTGCCGCTGAGGAAAAGGAAGAGAAAGATGCTGCAGAGCAGGAAACAAAGGAGGACAATGTGATGGAGAAAGAAACACGAGATGAAAAAGATGTGATAGATGAGAAAACCAAGGAGGAGAATGCCGAGACAGAACAGGAAACTAAGGAGGAAAAATCCCCAACTCAAGTGGAGGAGAAGTTARAGTCCAAGGAAGATGCACCAACCACCAAATCAGATGCTGTTTCAGAAAAGAAAGACGAAGCTTCTGCTTCCCCTGAAAGTACTACTGAAACCAAACAAGAAGACCAAAAGGTAGAAGAGAAGGTTCAAGCAGAGGCAACATCTGAAACTGAGCACCAGGAGAAGTCAAAGCCCCACGGAAGCCCACTGAAGAAACTCTTCACTGGAGCTGGCCTGAAAAAACTCTCAACTAAGAGACAAAAGATCAAGAAAGAGTCAGAGTCAAAACCAGCTGAATCCGGCGAGCAGGCGGCCGAGCAACTGCAGTCCTCCAATGAGTCTGAAGAGGGTCCTAAAGCCGACAGCGGACCCTCATCTCCAGAAACATCGGGGGAACACGTTCTCGCWGTGGAGGTGAACCAAAACGAGTCCAGCCAAGAAACTGAAAGTGAAGTTACAGGTGACGGTGAGAAGAAAAAAGACGGCATCATCGCCTCGTTCAGGAAACTCGTATCACCCAAAAAATACGTCAAAAGGTCTTCTGATAGTGAAGACGAGGGCACGAGTGATAAAATGGCCAAATCGGCCACGTTGTCYTCTTCTGAGAGTGCTCCGCTTGCAGAAAAGGTTGTTGAAGAGAAAGAGACTAAAGAAGAAAAGGTTTCAGAGGAAGAGCTGAAGACGGAAAACACAGAGAAGCTGACCAGCAGCACCGAGGAGCCCAAAAAGAAAATGGACACCTCTGTGTCCTGGGAGGCTTTGATGTGCATGGGTGGACCCAAAAAGAGGATAAGAAAGACATCTGATTCAGACGATGAGGAGACCAAGGCAGAAGAGGAGACTGCAGGAGAAAAAGTAGAGGAAGGTAAAGAAGAAGAGAAAACAGAGGATGCTGATGTTCCTCCCCAAAGCCCAGAGATTGAAGAGGCGATCCCTCCTGCACCKGAGCCTGTGAGAGAGTCCCCCTGGAACACACTGAAACGCTTAGTAATGCCAAAAAATAGGCCCAAAAGTGAAGAAAAGCCTGAGGAGCCTGCTGAACAAGTCCAACCAGACACTGAAACCCAAAAAGAGGAGTCCTCTTTCTCCCTGAGGAAGCTCTTTCATGGGCGCAGAAAGAAGGTGGAAAAACAAGCTTCCTCTGACCAGGGCTCAGGCGAAGAGGACTCTGACACTCCCGCCGTAGTTCCTCTTACCGAGTACGAGGAGCGAGCCGAAGCACAGCAGGAAGCACCAGCAGAACCAGCTGCCGTCCAGGTTAAAGTAGACGCTGACGACAGGTCACCGTCATGGATCCCAGCCGTTGTCGAGGACGACAAACACGACCAGCTCAGCGACATCCCGGAGGAGGTCGAAAATTCAGCCACGCCAAAATCCGTCGACACTGACGTTGCGGACGATGAAGCCGAAGACCAGGCTGCACCACCCAAAGGTTCGAGGAGCTCAGAGCGCCGGCTGTCCACCGCYGAAGTGAAGCCCATAACCCCGGCTCCAGCTGCAGCGACCTCCCCTGTTCCTCAGGGACCCAAGACRCAGACCGCAGATGAGGTCGTTAGTGGAATCGAGGCCCAGGTCGGTGAAATTCCAGCTCAGATGTCTGTGGCTCTTGAAGATGCTCCACTGCATGTYGCGACGGCAGAAACAGAGCCCGCAATAGAAACTGAGACAGCCGTATGTGTGACAAAAGCCATCCTGGAGCCACATGCACAAAGCGAGGTCGTGGCCATCTGCACGGGACTCCAAACCACGGAGACCGAAGATGTCCCTGTGGAGCAGCCGGTTGAGCCTACCGTAGAGGGTGTGGTGCCCGTCAGTGATGCCACAAGTGTGGAGATGGCCGTGGAGCAAAAGTCAGACGAATTGGAAGAAGCAGWCACTACAGTAGACCCTGTACTCAAGGCTCAAGTCTACCAGGTACAAACCATTGAACTTGAACCTGTTGCAGAAACAATAGTGGGTGAAGTTGACGTTCAAGCCGCCACTGAGAGTTACGAACCTGAGGCTGAAAAGGCCGGAGCTGTCGGCACCGAGAACGCCGAGGTTATCCACCCCACAACGCTGAAGCAGAACTCCCCTAAAACTATGACGGTCGATCCTATCACACCAACACCCGAAACAGCCGTATGCACCCAGACCGTGGAAGTCTCCGAGGTGACCGTAGAGACCAAAGAAGGTAACGTGGACACGGAGCAGCATGCTGCCGATGGAGAAAACACCCCAGCAGGAGAGATGATTCAGGCAGTGGCTCAAGAGGTTTCATCCACAATGTGTGACGCAAAAGATGACAGAAAATGGGCTGCAGTGCCCAGCGAGGACAACGCTGTCATCACAGAGACGGTGGTCCTCGTTGCTCCGGATGACACAAAGGCTGACAAAGAAACAATCCAGGAACAGAAAACTGACAGCGAAATCGAAACTCAGAGCGCGGTGATCGCTGAGGCTGTGATTAAAGATGCCGTGGGTAAAGTTTTAGAAGACGTTCCACAACCCAAAAAGTCAACGGCCGTCATCCCAACTCCCGTCACGGCAACGGCAACGACCGACATCGCAACCGAGCCAGTTGTTATCACTGAAACCCCCGTTCCTGTTATCTGTGAAGAACCGTCCACAAAGTCACCTCCGACACTTTGTGTCGCCATGGAGGTCACTGAGACCGTACCACTGGAGGTCACGCAAAGCATCGTAGAGGAGGACAACCAGGAGGAGAAACCAGAAAGAAGCTTAAAGATGGCTGAGGAGGTGGAAGTAAGCAAGGAACCCATCGTCGAGGAGGAAGTCACAGAGATTGAGGCAGAGGCTGATGGAGAGAAGGAGGAGAGCAAAGAGTCTCTGGAGCCAGAAGAGAAAGAAACTGACCAGGAAGTCAAGTCAGAGCTCGACGAGAACCAGCCGGAGGAGAAAACGCAGAAAGTCTGCGAGCTCCACATGCCGACCCAGGTGATCCTGCAGTCGGCGGAGGTGGTCGAGGAACCGCCTGTGAACGTGGAAATCGCCGCAGAGCTCGACAAAGACGTTTCTGACACCAGCGCAGCGTCCGAGGAGCCGTTGAGACAAAAACTCTCGGACCTGCYGGAAGAAGAGGCGGCTGCAGGAGAGGCAGAAACGGAGAAAGACCCGTCGGCGAAGTGCGCGGAAGTGATGGCGCAGGTGATCGAGGTGATCGAGGAGGCCGTGAAGGAGATCGAGCCTGTGTCCGCGGAGATCACAGCAGCGTCATGAACAGGTGAGGAACCTTCTGAAGTCCTCAACATTCATTCAAAATGTTTCCAAGACAGGTAACTTTCTTTGTTGTAAATCTCCTCGTAGTGTCTCAGTGGTCTTACTTTTATTAGAGAGTAGAGGAGGAGACTTGCACACCAACCAGATGAAACAAGCTTTTGTTCATGCTCTGAGTAGCCAGGAGACCTTTGATATCAAAGCAGGAATGCCGCCGTTGACCCCCGTCTTTATAGGCTGGGACCTCGAAAGGGAAGCGGTGTGTGCGAGGGGCAGATGAACTTGTGCTGAAAGGCTGATTATGATTCCTCCGCTCCCTCCTCCTCTGTTTCTTCTACGACGGCCTCAACGTGGACTCGAGAAACCATGTCGTCGGATGTGGTTGTAGGATTTGATTACAAGGCTTCAAAGAATCGGCGCTGCATTTCTGTGTCGTAGCGATGTGCTAAAGATACCAGCTGSTGTTCAAGTGGGCGTGGCTTGCTTTCATGTTTATCAGGCTGTCATCAGCTCGACTCAGAGGAACAGAAAAGAGAGAAAAGATCCTGTAAAAGGTGCTGAATAAATCTGTTTCCTAGGTTCCATTTTATTTAAACAGAGATAAAAATATAAAGTCTAAATTAATTATTTTTTCTTTTTAGTTAAACAGGATCATTCTGAATGTGATAAATAAAATTAATAGTATGCTCTTTTTTATATTTTCACACAAAACCAACACAACATAAAACAGTCTTGATTTAGGTGACTGTTCTGTGGTAGATGGATCAAATTTAGCTTATTATATGTAATGGATCTGATTTTACTATGTGAAATAGTTATAAAGTATTTATCTCTAAATAAACTCACCAAAGCAAAAGTAGAGATAAAAATTCAGTTAAACTTTATTCATAAAACGCATTAAAAAAAACAAAACAAAAAAAACCATCAAATTCCTCAGTCAGCCATAAAAACATAAAACATTTCAGATTGTGATTGGACCGTTTTCTCATCCAGATTTTTGTCCTAATATCTGATTTATTTATTTTTTCCCCCATGTTTCTCCACCTCAGATGAAGACGCAGGACCGACGACCTGGGAGGCGAACCATCTGAACCAGGAAGTGACGTGCGGGAGTGTGAGGGGGGTGGGGGTTGCTCCGCTGTAACACACACACACACACACACACACACACACACACA